AATAAATTTGATTGAAGTGCCTCAGTTACATCAGCATTCCTCCTTTTCTTTCACTGCGACTCGTTCATTTATTGAAATCAGGTAGAAAAGCTGCTACAGGAGCCCATTAAACCAGAGCTAACTGCTGCATCTAATGTCAACGGCTGAGTGACATTAAAAGGAAAATATTAGAAATCATTTGGTTCAATAACAGATCCTGTACAGAAATATATTAAATAGAGAGTGATACTTTCCAGCCTTTATTTCTGTTATGATCACTATTGAAAATCTGTTGGCGATTACATTTGGGAAACGAAATTAAACGTAAAGGAATTAAAGCAATAAAACTAAAATCTGATATTTTCTAGAAATAAAATGTATTTCTTTATTTTTAACTATTGAAGAAAACATCAAAAAACGAGGAGAGTTTCTGCTTACAGCAGTCTGTGATACTTAGCTAACGAGAATATGAACCACAGCAGATGATTGATTATCATCAACTGATTGATTGATTGATTGATTGATCGCACAGTGGAGAAATTGACTCATTCCATCAGCTCAAATAGCCAAAGGAGGAGGAGCCAAATGAAGAAAGAGGTGCATGATGGGATATATACAGTATATACAGGGCGTCCACATAGGGCAGCTTTTTATCTATAGTAGGATTATTGCACAGGGTGTTTATATAGAGAAACAGGTTATTGCTCAGGGTATTAAATAGTAATTATTCTCCACTGCAGCAGTTATTGCTGTTGTAGTGTCTGATTGTAAAGTCTGGTTGGATGAATGAGCTGCAGCAGCGCTCCTACTGAGGCTGTAAAAGTCTCTGACTAAAGGAGCTGCTCAGCTCCTCTCCAGTCTGCTGCAGAGGGTGGAAGGTGGCGTCCATGATGGATGGAGGCTTGGACAGCTCCCTATTGGACCACATGATGGAAAACTGGGATATTTTAGGAGATAACCGTTCTTTGATAGCAGGAAGGTCACGGACGGCATGTCCAGCTGGATGCAACCGTTGGTGTAAAAAGGCTACTGGGTTAATTTGATGACATGTTTTAAAGTGAGTCTCCTTCACCTCAGGTGGAATTAGAAGTTAAATATACCCAGAGAAATCCTTTTTAGCTATGTTCAGATCTGCAGTTGTTGTAATTCTGCTGTTATAATCATTGAATTATTTAGATTTATAAACAGACATGAGAACAACCTCGTTAGATACCGTCCTCTACCATTAATCTGGAGTCACAACTTAATGGGTTTTGTAGAAGAAAAGGGCCTCACTATATCACATATTCACCACTGGTACAGTTCAAATAAAATGTTTCCCCAAACTCACAATTCCCAAATAATTCAATCAGCAACAGACAGAATCCCTTCAATCAGATTTAAAGACGGATTTCCTGTTAACAGAAATTATTCTAATATTCCACAGCAAGCAGCTGTGGAACATTTTGACTGAATGTCAGTTTCTTCAAAAGTAGAACGTGTTTGTTGAAAATTGGAAAGTTGAATAGAAATCTTTGAGTCAAAATCCCATTTAAGAAGAAATCACAGAGAAAACTGATCAGATCATCATCCTGGAGGGAAATGAAACCACAGAGAGTCTGGATGTTTTCAGGTGATGGATGGATGGATGAGGATGGATGATGGATGGATGATGGATGGATGATGGATGGATGA